CACACACATATATAATAATGCAGAAGAGATTTATTGGAAGGTTTCTGTGGGCGGTTGTATTTATTTCCGATACGCCAGTTCATCAGCATGGGGTATTGTTATAAAGTGCTGGGTGGGTGGTTTTTTATCTTCACGGATTTATGAAGTCCTTAAAACATCTGTTCCATCCTGATTCCACAGTCTTTCAGCAGCTCAGGGAGAGAGATGTTTCTCGGCGGGCTGCCTGACGACGAGTGGTTTTGACAGAGACGCATTTGCTGAGCGTTAATACGGCGAGCACTGACGGGGTTAGGAGGAGGGTCAGGACGGCTCTTTAGAAGGGCTGGTGTGGGGAAGGGCGATGGTGAGATTTGTCGCTTGGTGCTGTCAGAGGACAAAGGAGGGGAGATGATTTAAGACTGGGATTTTCCAAGGAGCCGAGGGGACACAAGCACTCTGGGCCGGAGGATGCTCACTTGGAGTCAGACACCCATCTTCCTTAATTCCCTTTGAAAATCCCACCCTGAATGGAAAGTTGATGGGGACTTTTGGCATCCTCTTTCCCAGGAGGACTGACTGGCTCATGGCATTGGCGATGCAGGTGACTTCAGGCCTTTCACACCAGTGTTTTTTGGCTTTTTTAAATTCTAGACTGGAAGTGGTTGTTGACAATTCAGCATCTCTCACCAGGTTTGGGAGCTGCTCTCACACAAACCATGCCCACAACTTACCAAGTTAGGAGGGGATCTCAGCAAAGAGGCCAGAGATCCTATAGTGCCTGAATAGTGCCCTTCCCTTGAGGACCTACAGGCTCTCTCCTGGAGGAAACAGGCACAGGGAAAGTTCTTGTTATTTTTTTGTGTGTGGCTCAATTCAGGGCTTCAGTCAGTAAGGAGCTAAGCAGCAGGCCTTTTATTCTCTGAATCAGAAACCTGGATCTATATGAACCTGAATGCTGGAGATCTCACTAGGATGAGATCTGACCTTTGCTGGGTCTTCTGGCTAATTTCAATATCTCCCTATAGAAGCGCTGATGCAGGGCTGTTCCCACGCTGCCGGGCATCTCGAGCAGCATTGCCATTATGGCTCCCCATGAACCGATCATGTCTCCCCAGTAGCAGGCTACAGTCAAAGAGCTGCAGAAACAGCCGCTCCTAGGTGACATTGTGGGATTTCACACTGGCCGATCAAAACTGCTAGCCCAGCAGGCTGCACGGCCCCTAGGTTTCCCCCTTTTCTTCCTGCTGCTGCAGTTGCCTGTCAAGCTCAAGCTAATAATGAACCATGAGTCAGATTCTCTCTGGTAGGATGCCCTGGCTGTCAATCACACACTTTAGGGGTGACCCAATTATGCTAATTATAGCTCCAAGCCCAGGAGGAGAAATAAAATCCTAATAACCCATAGAACAACTAAACACCTCTTTCTTGGGGCTCCTGCTGGCTTTTGAGGGTCTTCTCCATTTAACCAGTTCAGTGCTGATATTATAATACCCATACATAAAACCCATATACAAGCTCTGGGATGAAGGCAACCTGCATTTGATACAGGGTCCTGATACTCCTTGCATTACCTTGGGCAGGTCACTTCAGGCTCCCAGTGCCTCAGATTCCCCAACCGAAAAATTAAGATGATACTTCCAGGATGTTGAAAGGTCTCATTTGCTCGTGTTGGCAAGGGAAGGAGTCAGGGGGTGGAGGCAAAGCATATGTTGCAAATCCCTTTTTGCAGCAAGGTCTGTGTTTCACAAGTCATAAAACCTGTGGGGTGTCCACAAGTTCCCTATGCTCATCCTCACAGCTCCCTACCATCCCCTTGTGCCTACAGACATTGTGGATTAATGGAGAGAACATGAACCGAGCAGCAAGGAATTGCCTCGGGTCTGTCCTTAGTACAGATGTCTAGTTGTGCACTCCAGCACCTTTTGGTGGTAGCACTATTAGTTATTATTAATGATACCTTTAACTTCGAAGTGAGCTCATTCACAAGTTACCAGACGGTTATTGAGACATGCAGCAGAGCCTTCTATCATCCTTAGCTGTAAGGAGTCTAGCATGACTGAGACTACTGGAACAGACCATTGGTTTATACTGTTCAGTGTCCTCGTCTCAGCGGTGATCCCTTCCTGATAAATGCAGAGGAAAGTGAAGTCAACCCCATAATGCTCCAAGCAAAATAGCCAGTGCAGCTCACAGGCTGTGAAGGCTAAGGATGGGATTTCCTCTGACCCCTGGAGATGATTGGCTTATTCTTTGAAGCATGACAGTTGATTACCCCTTTCCCAGCGTGCGTTACTGGAGATATTAACTGCACTAAACTAGACCAATTTACACAAACCCTCTGTTTCCTGGATAGACAGATGATGTGGTAGGGAGGAGGGACAGGCTGAGAGATTTCCCCAGTGGATGCACAAAGAAATGAATGAGTAGCTCACCAGCTGACAGCAATGAGAAACCATCCCCGGAAGAGATCTCCAGTCTGACTTCCTCCGCTCAATGCTCAGTCACTGCCTCCTTCACAGCAGGAGGAAAAAGGAGATTTTGACTAGAGTGTGATGGGCACAGCTTATATTATAATGCTTGCTTGGGAGCCTGCGTGCAGGGCACCTTCTGCAGCTCTGTCTGCTCAGTAGGTTCCTAGGTCAAGGCAGGAAAAGGCCAGGGCAGTGGAGGCCTGGGGCATCATCCAGCTGGAAAGCAGTAGCATATTGCAACAGGTGCTATGCTTTAGGAGCAAGTCCTCCTATTAAGGCTGTACCAGAGCCCTTCCCTGGGCTAGTCTGCCGCCTTAGCATTTCAGCCCTGGTGTGCACTAGTCCACTGATTAGGCTTACCGGCTTTCCACCCCTTGGCAGCTGCTACTAATTAGACACTTGTGCCCATTAGTCCCATTTAGGCTCAGCCTCTGTTAAGGAAGCAGCTCTCTGTTTCTGCACTTCAAGTAGTCCTTGACTCCTACGGGGGGGGGGGGGGGGGGGCGTGGGGGTGTTTTTTTTTT